CTTGTGCAACCTATCTAAGCAATTTGCATCACACCTCATGTTTCCCCATAGGTGAGACAGCATAGAGAGCTGGCTATGCCTGGGTTTGACAGCCATGTGACCTCGGGCATGTCACTTAATTTCTCTGTGCCTTCATTGTCTCATCTATAAAATGTGAATAATACTGCAACTGCCTACTTCATAGAGTTGCTGAAAGATTGGGTTCACACACTAAAGCATGTAGAAAAACATACATCCTTGGCATGTATTCCATTTGGGATGGTGATGCATTCTTTCTAAACCCCTATGCACTGTGAAAATCTGCATTAATTTCTTTCATTCGTTCATCCAGCCAACACTTACTGAGTACTTGCCAGGCCCAGAAACTCAGAACAAAGAGGCCAGACAAGGTTCCTGTCCTGGAGGAACTTAACTTTCTGGGGGTAGAGATAGACCATGAAGGAAAAAAACCAAATCAATAAAGACTTATTTTAATAGTGTTACATGTTGGAAAGAAATGAAACAGGGTGAGAGACACAGACTGTTTTAAGCAGGCTGATCTGGGAAGGCCTCTCTGAAGGGTGACAGGTGGAAGAGAAGAACCACGAGCCACGGGAATAAAGAGCAAGTGAAGAGGCCCTGGGGAGGAAAAGCAGAGGTGTTGGGACTGGAATGAGCAAGGGTGGGGATGGCGGGTGCAGAGATCAGAGAGCTGGGGACCGCAGTGAGCAGCCCTCACGGGTCGTGGTAGGAGTTTACTTGTTAATGGTGGTGATGCAGTCGCTAAATGATGTCCGACTCTTGCTACCCTATGGACTGTAGCCCGCCAGGCTCCTCTGTCCATGGGATCTCCCCGGCAAGAAAACTGGAGTGGATTTGCCATTTCCTTCTCCAGGGGATCTTCCTGACCCAGGAATGGAACCTGGGTCTCCTGCATTGCAGGCAGATTCTTTACCGACTGAGTTGGGGCAACATGAAACCCATGAAAAGTTTCAGCAAGGGAATGACAGATCCCACCCATGTTTTCTGAAGACCACGGTAGCCCCCTGCCAGGAAAACAAAATTAAGGGGGCTTGGTTGGAAGAGGAGGCTTCCCAGCTGGTGCTAGAGGCAAAGAATCTGCCTGTCAGTGCAGGAGAGGTAAGAGATGCAGGTTCGATCCCTGGGTCGGGAAGATCCCCTGGAGGAGGGCGTGGCAACCCTCTTTAGTATTCTTGCCTGGAGAATCCCAGGGACAGAGGAGCCTGGCGGGCTGTACAGTCCATAGCGTCTTAAAGAGTCAGACACAATTGAAGGGACTTAGTACGCACGCAAGGGTTGGAAGAGGAGAGCGTAGTTGTGGGACTTTTGATGAGGACCCATCCCCAGGTCCCTGCAGAGTGTTTAAATGGTTACCTGGGCAACCGCCATCCCAGAGCACCGCTCACCGCCCAGCAGGCTGGTCCTTGTTTGCAAGACTGCGGTATTCCAAGACTGAAAGAGAACTTCCTGCGTCCTGGGAGCCCTGGGCAGACAGCGAGTGCTGTGGCAGCCCTGCCTGCATCTCCAGTCCGGGATCAGCCCAGGTCTGTCAGTCCTGCCAGCGCCACATCCTCTGGTCCTTCCCACCCCCGGGGAGTGCCCCGGGCAGAAATCCGGCCCTGCCCACCCTGGACGTGCTCTGATAACCTCCCCAAAGGGGAAGCTGTTTGTTTGGAAGGAAATGGTGCAGAAAGAGGCAGTGGCCACCTTCAAAATAGGGCCGGGGCCTGCTTCAGGGCCAAGCTGGAGCGTGAGGGCTGAGATTCCAGTGGCTGAGGAATCGGGGGGCGGGGGGGCCTTCCTGGGGCCAAGGAGGTCTGGTGCAGCCAGGCACCTGCTCCTCCTTGCCCCAGGGAGCCCCCGAGAGTTTTCGTTATTGCCATTTTTGGAATAACTGAGTCCAGCAACCAGAGACACGATGGCTTTTTAAAAAAACTAATTTATTTCTTAATTGGAGGATAATTGCTTTACAATACTGTGTTGGTTTCCTGCCAAACGTCAACATGAATCAGCCACAGGCATACATATATCCCCTCCCACCTCCCACCCATCCCCTCTAGGTTGTCAGAGCCCCAGTTTGAGTTCCATGAGTCATGTAGCAAATTCCCACTGCCTATCTATTTTACAACTTTTTGTTGTTATTCAGTAGCTAAAGAGTGTAAAGTGTTAGTTGCTTAGTCACGTCTGACTCTTGGTGACCCAGCGGACAAAGCCCACCAGGGTCCTCTTGCCAGGATTCTCCAGGCAAGAATACCGCGGAGGAGGTTGCCATGCCCTTCTCCAGGGGATCTTTCCCGACCCAGGGATGGAACCGCAGGCTCTTGGGTCTCCTGCACTGGCAGGCAGGTTCTTTACCACTAGCACCACCTGGAAAGGTATTCAGTAGCTAAGTTGTGTCCAGCTCTTTGTGGCCCCATGAGCTGCAGCACACCAGGCTTCCCTGTCCCACGCTACCTCCTGCGGTGTGCTCAAACTCATGTGCTTTGAGTCAGTCATGCCATCGAACCATCTCACCCTCTCTCAACATACACATACGATCGTGTATGTTTCCATGCTACTGTCTCCATTTGTCCTGCTCTCTCCTTCCCTCAATGTATCCCCAAGTCTCTCGTCTATGTCTGCATCTCCATTGCTGCCCTGCAAATAGATTCACCAGTACCATCTTTCTAGATTCCATATATATGGTCAATATATGATATTTGCTTTTCTCTTTCTGACTTACTTCACTCTATAATACACTCTAGGTTCATCCACCTCGTTAGAACTGAGTCAAGTCATGACGGGTTTTTAATCCTCGATCCTGTGAAGGGGGTTCAGGAGGAAGGTCACGACCCCAGGGAGGGGAGGGGTCTTCGGGGCTGACCCAGAACTCAGGTTTCCCCCTCCCTCTCCCTGATTCCTCCTTCAATCTGACATTTTCTTGTCTCCATCCCATCTGGTGGAAAAGGGGAAGAAGACAGGAAGTTGGAAATTAAAATCGCCTGCCTGCACTAGGCAACCCCTGGGGTGATTTTAAAAGATGCCACTGCTTGAATCCTGCTTCCAACCAGTTCAGCTAAGACCCCCCCTTTAAAAGCTAAAGGGGTCTTTTAGGGAAAAAAAAATATCACCAGGGGATTCTAATGTGCTGCCATGGCTGATAACCTCCATTTTAGTAAGTTTAGTAAGATTCTGTGCTTCTCAGCACTGGCTGATCCTCTCAATCTCCTGGGCAAGTTTTCTAATAAACCTGTGTCTGGGTCCCAACCCAGACTCATTAAGCGAGGATCAAGCAGGACAAGGAGCAGGCACTATATTTTTTTAAAAGCTTCTCCAGGGGACTTGAAAGGGCAGTGAGGGTGGAGAGCCTCTGATAGCCCGGTCTCCCTGGTGTACAGACAGGGGGACCAAGGACCAGAGAAAGATGACTGGTCCAAGGTCACACAGTCATGCTCAGTTGTTCAGTCGTGTCAGACTCTTTGTGACCCCATGGACTGTAACCCACCAGACTCCTCTGTCTATGGAATTTTCCAAGCAAGAATACTGGAATGGTCTGCCATGTCCTACTCCAGGGGATCTTCCCAACCAAAGGATCAAACCTGCATCTCTTGCATCTCCTGCACTAGCGGGAGGATTCTTTACCACTAGCGCCATCAAGCAAAGGCAGAGCTCAAAATCAAGTCTGTGGTCCCCAGGCTAGCCTGGCATAACCGGGCACGGAAGTCTCAGATGAGTTCTACGTGGTACATCCGCAACTAGATGCTGGTGGAGGTAAGCAGAACTGAAAGAATAGCCCCCAGGGACCCTCGCCCTGGTATAATCCCCCCACTTTAGGTGGGTGGGAACCTGTGAATATCACGGTTCTGTTACCTTGTTTAGTTGCTAAGGCATGTCCGACCCCTTTTGCAACCCCATGGACTGTAGCCTGCCAGGCTCCTCTGTCCATGGGATTTCCCAGGCAAGAATACTCGAGTGGGTTGCCATTTCCTTCTCCAGGAGATCTTGCCAACCCAGGAACTGAACCCGACTCTCCTGCATCGGCAGGTGGATTCTTTATTGCTGAGTCACCAGAGAAGCCCTCTTGTTGTTAAGCCGCTTCAGTCGGTGTCCGACTCTGTGTGACCCCATAGACAGCAGCCCACCAGGCTCCGCCGTCCCTGGGATTCTCCAGGCAAGAACACTGGATTGGGTTGCCATTTCCTTCTCCAATGCATGAAAATGAAAAGTGAAAGTGAAGTCGCTCGGTCATGTCTGACTCTTTGAGACCCCATGGACTGCAGCCTACCATGCCCCTCCGTCCATGGGATTTTCCAGGCAAGAGTACTGCAGTGGGTTGCCATTGCCTTCTCCAAGAAGCCCTCTATTACCTTACAAAAGGAATTTATCAGTGGACCTTGAGTTTCTCAAAAGGTTGATTACCCAGGTGGGATTAATCTCATCACACCAGCCCTTTAAAAGCTGGGAGTTTGGCCCCTGGCAGAGGAGGGAATCAAGATTCCAAAAGGACCCAGTATACTGTTGCTGGTTTTGAAAATGGGGTCACTTGAGTAGGAATGTGGGGGTGGGGGTTCTCTAGGAGCAGCATATGAGCCGTCCTGCTGACTGTCGAGCTTTCAGGCAACCCCCCACGAGGAACTGAATCTTGCCAACAACCAAAACAAGCTGGAGAGCAGTCTGCCCCGGGGCCTCCACTCAAAAGCTTGACACCCCCGATTTCAGCCTCACCAGCACCAGAGCAGGGAACCCAGCCCCGCCACGCCTGGATTTCTGACCCGCAGAACTGGGAGCTAAGACGTGCGTGGTTACTGCTTCAAAGTTTGTGGGAACGTGTCATGCCAAGGGAAAAGCCAGTTCACTCGCTCCAGCTGGAGGAGGAGCTGAGTCCTGACGCTCACAACCAGGCTCCCCCAAAGGCCCTGGAAACTCTGAGAAGAGCGTGAGGAGGAGGTGGGAAGTCTGTGTCCCAAAAGGCCAGGCAGACAGAGGGGCCAGGGCGACGGCGCCACAGGTGTGCAGGGAGCATGTGCAATCCTGCCGCTGCCCCGCCCAGGCTCAGCGCATCCCAGAACTCACGGTGGCACGTGCTGGGAGACGACGCTCACGAACGCCTGATCTGCAGGTAGGAGGGGCTGGCATGGGGGTTGGGACAGATCAGTGTTGTTGCACAGATCCCACCCCAAGCCAGCACAAGACCTGGGGGCCCTGGGAATGTAACCCGTTCAGGTAGGATCTCACCTCCTCTTGCACTTTGAAAGTGGGAGACGGTAGGAGCGGGATGCTCCCTAGCCCTGCCTGTAGTCCTCCGGACAGTGGAGGCTCGCCCCCCACCCCGGCTGTGAGCAAGCAGAGAGGCCAGGATGCCCTTGAACGGGGCAGGGCCAAGCCTCCAACACTCAACCCCTCCTTCCTCTCCTCCGCTGTCCTTCTGTCTTTCCTTGAGGGTCTCTAGGATGACTCCTTGTGCCTGTTTTAAGCTATCTACAATCCTACTACCTGTGAGTGGCATATTGGCTCTCGTTTAATATACTGCACCCCCAAACTCGCCTCATTCGCTCCCTATCACCTCGTCCTGTTTTATTTCCACCTGAAATGGCCTGGTTCATCTACTGGTTGGTTCATTGTCGGTGGCGCCCACATCTCCTGCAGCTGTGAGGGCTGGAGGCATGTCCGTCTGGTCCCTAACGCAGCACCTGGGGCAGACCTGTGGGACTGGATGATGGTGTTATAGTGAGAGCCCCCGTGAAGCTCCAGAGGGAGGGGAAAGGGGTACTGGTAAAGCGGAGACCCCACAGCTCACTGTCCTCCTGGCCGTCCCCTCTGCATCCCGCCCCTGGCCCCAGAGCTCAACCTGATCCCTGCCTACTCCCCACCCTGCGGGGACGCTCTGATGGTCCTGATGTTCTCAGGGGGCTGAGCTCAGAGCCACGAAGGGAAGGAGCACGAGGCTTGTGGTCCTGCTGGCTCCCAGGGGAAGGTTTTCCTGCTCTGTTGTTCTGGCAGCCAGGTGTTTGTCAAATTTGTGGCGAGGGACCAGTTTGATGGCTTGTTTTTGACTAGGGATTCATCATGGACCAATACTTTTATCTTGTTCAGTTGCTAAGTTGTGTCCAACTCTTTGCGGCCCCATGGACTGCAGCACGCTAGTCTTCTCTGTCCTCCACTATCTCTCGGAGTTTGCTCAAATGCATGTGCATTGAGCTGCTGATGCTCTCTAACCATCTTTCTGCCACCCCCTTCTCCTTTTGCCTTCAATCTTTCTTTATCAGCATCAGGGGTTTTTCCAATGAGTCGGCTCTTTGCATCAGGTAGCCAAAGCTTCAGCATTAGTCCTTCCAATGAATGTTCAGGGTTGATTTCCTTTAGGATGGACTGCTTTGATCTCCTTGCTGTCCAAGGGATTCTCAAGAGTTTTCTCCAGCACCACAGTTCAAATGCATCAATTCTTAGGTGCTTGGCATTCTTTATGGTCCAACTCTCACATCCGTACCTGACTGCTAGAAAAACCACAGCTTTGACTATACTTTCGTAACATGTGACAATAAGCTTCAGATGCCTGCACATCACAGCAGTGGCTGTAAAGATGTCTAAACCTTCACTCCCCAAGTTGGGCTCAGCTCTTCAAAGGCAGTGGGACACTTTTTGGACCCCACTCTGAGCTGCGTAGCTCTGGACACATCAAGGATGCGTGGGTAGCTGTTGGTTATTCTAAGGCCCCAGAGACCCACCCAGGGGCTGGGGCTTTGGATGATTGGGGTGCCAGTCAGGTATATACATATGCAATCCATGTCCCTGGTGTATATAGTCTGCGTCCCCGATAGAAGAGATCCTGGTTGGGAACCAGGAGGAAACCTTAGGAACAAGGAAGGGTGGGGGTGAGGAGGACTTCCCCAGGCCACAGTCTAACTCCTGGGCCCTGCCATAATTCAAGGGAAACCTCTTCAGGGTCGGGGCGGGGAGCAGTTCTGCCCAGCTCTGCACTTGTCAGCACCTCACCACCTTGGCCTGGAGTCCTTCCACTTCCCTCAAGATGTTTGTTTATACCTTCTGGCTCAGATTCCAGCCTGGGAGGAATGCACAGGGCTGATGGACCGCTGGCCCCGCTGCCTGGCCTGCAGGGGTGGGGTGGGGGGAGATGCGGTCCAGACCTAGCCTCCTCGGGGATGGCAACTCTGAGGGCCCTGCCCTGCCCCTCCCTGATCTCTCCAGAAGCAGGAGAGGTAGATCGAAACTCTCTCCACTCCTCGGAGAGGAGGCTGACCTTCACCCAAGGAGCTGGCTGCCACAGTTTCTGGGCGGGGAACTCAGGAATGCCCCCCACCCCCCAGGTCTCACACACAGTAGGCACTTGGAGTATTTGTGAAGGTCACTGCAGCTGAGCTGGGATGGAACCCTGCCCGACATCCCCTCCCTGCCCTCATCCCCGGGTGACACATTGTTACGATTCCGCCAGGTCTGGAATGTCCCTGTTTACCATCAGTGTCAACCTGGCTCCAAGATCAGCCAGCTCCGAGAGGCCTGCCCTCCGGGTGGGGGAGGGATGGGAGGATGTGGGGCTGAGTGATGGGAGCCGGCCACATGGGGAGCCCCGGGCCCCCTATATGGTCCTCTGTGTTGGAGACCCCAACCCAGGCATGTGGTCACTCTGGACCCTGGAATCAAGTTACCTGAGAGACGTCAGGCAGTGGGAGTTCTGCCGGTCCTTGTTGCTGACATCCCAGGCTGCCAGCCCCTCTCTCGTTGCCCTTTTCATCAGGATGTGAGGAATGATGGGTCTTTTTCCAAGAAGCTGTCCCCTCCTCCTGTGCCTTTGATCACCCAAGTCTCTGCATCGGACGTGACCTCTCCCGCCTCCCACCTCCTCGTGTCCAAACCCTTTCTGTAGGTATGAGAGCTCAGCTCTGTAGCTAGATGGCTTGGATTTGAATCAGACCTCTACCATTTGTTAGCTGTGTTGCCTTGAGCGAGTCACTCGACCTCTCTGTGCCTCTGTTTTCTCATCTGTAAAGTGGAATATTATGGGTATTTTTCATATTCATGGCTGCCCATGATCTTCCAGTCGTATTCTGTCTCTGGAGAAGTATCCCTGGTAATGAGCTGCAATCACTGATACACAAACAGAACTCAGTTTTGCAAACCAGACAGACAGAACCCACCTCAGTCTCATGGCTCTGTGTATCTAGGACCCAAGCCCTGGATCACAAGCCCGATGCAGCCATGTAAGACCTCTGTGCAAACAGGGGGTGGTCAACTCAGGCACGGTCTCGTTTAGGTTTTCATAGTGGCAAGGACAGCTGGATCTCTGGGGATTCAATGGCAGGGCTCGTGTGTCTGCAGGAGTTCTGGCATCAGGCAGTTGCCTGTTGGTTAAAGTACCTGCCCCCATAGTGTGTGTTATCTGTAACCATCTACCACACAAATTCAGTTTTATTTCCCACCTCAAATACAGAGAGCAACCTAATTTTTCTTTCTTTTGTCAACACTTGGTCGACTTAACCATACAGATTCTGTACATTTTATTGAAGTAAAGTTGATTTACAATGTGTTACTTTTAGGTGTGGGCTTCCCTGCTGGCTCAGTGGTAAAGAATTCGTTTGCAATGCAGGAGATGTGGGTTCGATCCCTGGGTTGGAAAGATCCCCTGGAGAAGGAAATGGCTACCCACTCCAGTGTTCTTGCCTAGAATATCCCATGGACAGAGGAGTCTGGTGGGCAGGCTACAGTCAGTGGGGCCACAGAGGGTCAGACACGACTGAGCATGCACATGTGCACTTGATTGCACACATGCACCTGTACTGTGATGAACAGTGACCCGCCCCGCCGCCCCATTCAAATCTACTTGAAACCTCAGAATGTAACCTTATTAGGAAATAGGGTCTTTGAAACTGTTACTAGTTAGTATTTAAGATGAGGTCACACCAAGGTAAAATGGGTCCCAGTCCAATGGCTGGTGTCCTTATAGGAAAAGGGAGAGTTTGGACGCATGCACAGGGGTAGGGGGGTGGCCATGTGGTGACGAAAGCAGATTGGAGCCGGGGAACGGCAGGGATGCTGGCCACCCCCCAGGGGCTAGGAACAGAGCCTTGAAGAAACCACCCCTGCCCACACCTCCATTTCTGACTTCCAGAACTCCAGGAGTGTGGGAGAGTAAATTGCTGTCATCCAGATGGTGGGGACTTGTTACAGCAGTCCAAGGAGGCTAACAGGGTTCCTTTTTCACCTGTATGGTTATAAGCAGGAAGAGGGGACGAGAGACAGTGCTAAGGGCGTTTTTCTGACTTGGGCTCTGTAGGCAGATGATGAAGAGGAACCCATTTCTTCCTCCCGTGGTGATTTGTAATTGAAAGGTGACTAGGATATAGTTAGGGAACTTTGATAAAAGATACAGGGGCCTTCTGAAAGGGAAATGATTGAGACACTGTCCAGTGAAAATAAGATGGGAGTCATATATATATATATATATATATAATTTTATTTTCTAGTAGCTGTATTTTTAAAGGAATGGAGAAACAAATGAATGTAATCTTACCTCATTATTGACTAGGGGATTTTGCAGAAACTAACACCTGTGGCTGGCGATTTCTTAGCTGATATTGATATATCTCTGGTCAATAACATTTGGGTAACAGAAGACATATTAATACATCTCAGGTCAATAATGTGTTAATAAGATTTTCTTTAACCTAGTATCTCAAATATTACCATTGCAGCACACACTTAAGATAAAATAGATATTTTACATCCCACCTCCCCCCTTTTATTGTAGTTTATCTTCAAACCCTGGCATGTATTTTACACTTAGAGCATCTCAGTTTGCACTGGCCACACTTCAGGTGTTCAGTGGCCACCTCTGGCCTGTGGCTCTGTTATTAGACAGTGCAGCTGCCATCCTATCTTGCTAAATTCAAAGCTATTCAAACCTGCTGGGACATACTGGCTAGTTTGACCCATGCTGGGTGTCCAGGAAGCAACAGTTAGAACTAGACATGGAACAACAGACTGGTTCCAAATAGGAAAAGGAGTACGTCAAGGCTGTATATTGTCACCGTGCTTGTTTAACATATGCAGAGTACATCATGAGAAATGCTGGGCTGGATGAAGCACAAGCTGGAATCAAGATTG